ATAATGTATTTACTAGAATATTTATTAATCCAATTATGATAATATCGATTTTTTTAAAAAAGCATAATAATCATATGATTATTTTATAATAGAAAATCTCATAATGAAAGTAAAAATTCAATATATAAATTTTCTTTTTTTTTATATATCATTATTTGAAATGATAAAACAATAAATATTTTATTAATATTTTGTAATATATCAAATGATTAGTTAATGATATATCTTTTATTTATCAATTTAAATTTCATTTTATATTAAAAATAAGAATTTAGATTATATTATGAATAAATAAATTAAGTTTTTAATTTAATTAGTTTATGGATTAAATTGGTGTAAATACAATGAGAAGTTTATAAAAGTTGATTAAATCAGCTATGAAGACAAGAGTATTAACTGCATTTCCAAATCTCCCATAAAATAGTTTTGAGATATAATTGGAATCAATATCAAACAATCTAAATTTTGAATATAAGACACCTACAGTAATAAGAATCTTCAATCAATTTAAAAAACAAAATTTGTTTGGTGGTAATTATAATAACATTAAAAATATATAGATTTGAAATCAGAAGTTGAAGTGGCATAAAAAATAGCATCGACAGAATGTTAAGACAATATAATTTAAAAAATAGAGGCAATAGATAAAGGATTTTTAACAATACAATTAAATGATAAATTTATTGAGGATGAAATAAATGCACTTTTAATTAATGGATTAAAATTCCCATTAGAGAAAAAATAAGTATATTTTATATATAATAATTTAGAAAGTAGTTGTTGATTTCTCAAGTCCTAATATTGCAAAAGAAATGCATGTAGGTCATTTAAGATCAACTATAATAGGAGAATCATTATGCAGAATATTAGAATTTTAAGGATAAGAAGTAGTTAGAGTTAATCATATTGGTGATTGGGGTACCTAATTTGGAATGTTGATTAATCATTTATTAGAAGAATATCCAGATTATTAGACTAATAGACCTGCTCTTAAAGAATTAGAAGATTTATATAAGGAAGCAAAAAAGAAATTTGATTCAAATGAAGAATTTAAAGTTAAATCTTAATAATATGTTGTAAAATTACAAGCATTGGATCCTGTATGTATAGATGCTTGGAAAATGATATGTGAATTAAGTCGATAAGAATATAATAAAATTTATCAAAGGTTGAATGTTAAAATAACAGAATATGGAGAAAGTTATTATAATCCTATTTTACCTGAAATAGTTAAGGAATGTGAAGCTAAAGGAATTGTGGAATTAGATTAAGGAGCTAAAATTATCAGAGTGAAGGGTGAAAAAGTACCTTTAATGATTGTTAAAAAAGATGGTGGTTATAATTATGATACTACTGATATGGCAGCAGCTAAGACTCGTATTTTAGAATGGAAATGTGATAGATTACTTTATTTAACTGATGTAGGATAATGGAATCACTTTAAACTTATTTTTGAAGGTGCAAAATTAATGGGATGGCATTAACCACCAATTACATCAATGGAACATATGGGATTTGGTTTAGTATTAGGTCCTGATGGTAAAAAGTTTAAGACAAGATCAGGTGATACAGTTAAATTGATTGATCTATTGGATGAAGCTAAAGAGAGAGCTTTAAAATAAATAAAATAAAGAGTATAAGAAAGTTAATAAGGAAAAGAATTTTCAACTGGAACTGCTCTATCTCCAGAAGAATTTGATACTGCTGCAGAAAGAATGGGTATAGCTGCTATTAAATATTATGACTTAAAGTAGAATCGTATATCTGATTATAATTTTGATTATGATAAGATGCTTGATCCAAAGGGTAATACTGCTGTATATTTAATGTATTCATATGTTCGAATATTATCTATTTTAAGAAAAAGTGGAATTTAAGATTTTGAGATTTATAGAGCAGATAATAAATTCAAAATAACACATCAACATGAAAGACATTTAGCTGCATAATTATTAAGATTTGTTGATGTTTTATAATCAGTAACTGATTAATTATCAATAAATTGGTTATGTGATTATATTTATGATATTTGTGTTAAGATAGCAGAAGCTTATAATTAAGTAATATATTAAATATAAAATTTAGTATCGTATATTGAATGATGAACATACTCAAACAAGATTGTTATTGTGTGAAGCAATCAGAATGGTATTGTTATAATCTTTTTATTTGGTTGGAATAGAACCTATCGAAAAAATATGAGGAAATATAAATTACATTAAAATAATTATATATTTATTGATGTTTCCAAATATTTCTATATTAAATGAAGAATTTGATGAAGACTAACCTCGGTAGATTGTTTCATCATATTCAGATATTAAAAAGCTGCTTTCTCCTCCTGCAAACAAAATTTAATCTGATATTTATATAGATAGACATAAGGCAAAATCACATACATATGGATTAATTGAATCAAAAGGAGCTGAATAATATCTTATTAAAGTCATATAAAACAATGATTTATCAGAAATATAAAATTTATTGGATGAAGCAGAAAATATCAATATTTACACAATTACTGATCATAAGAAATACACTCTTTTACATTTAGCTGCATACAACAATAATTTAGATACTGTTAAGTATTTATATAATATTATATGTACCTAAGGTTATTAATTAATCATGTCAAAAAATAACATAAACATAAATGTATGTCCATACTTACAGAATGGGTTAATTAATAAACAGAGGATGGATTTGTGGCATTTCATTTTGCAGCTTATAGAGGAAATATAGAAATGATTTTAGAATTTGAAAAATGTGGAGCTAATTTATTTATTCGAAATGCTTAAGGTATGAATGGATTACATTTGGCTGCTTAAGGTGATTAACCTAAATCAGTTGTTTATTTTAAGAAAATTGGTTTCGATTTTGCTTAAAAAGATTCAAAAGGAGGTACTGCTTTACATTGGGCAGCTTATTATGGATGTGAATTAGCAGTCAATTATTTATTATCATTTACAGATTAATTATTAGATATTAAGGATGCAGAAGGTTTGACTGCATTACATTTAGCAACTATGAGTGGAAATAGTAGAATAGTTAAGAAATTATTGCTTTAAGGAGCAAATCGAAATATTAAAAATAATGAAGGTTAAACTGCAGCTGATATTGCTTAAGCTAATTCATTTAAAGCCATTCATAAAATGCTTACAGAATCATAAAACTTTTTAATTACTTACTTTAGTATTAGTTAAGGATTTTAAAAAGTTCATAGAAGTAAAGATAAAATGTTTAAATTTATTGCTATGTTAATTTACTGTTAAGGAATTACTATTTATTACTATTTTTATCCATTTGAATCATATTAAAATCTTATTTACTACTCAGCTTTTCAATTATTGATCTGGTTTTTCTTTATAATTGTTTGGTTAAGTGATCCTGGTAAGCAAATTAAAAAATAAGACTAAATTGAATAGGAACTCCTTAAAAGTCTTTATGAAATATTATAAAGATATGATGCCAAAGACATATGTCCTGAATGTGTATGTGTTAAATCTCCAAGATCTAAACATTGTGATATTTGCTAATCTTGTGTATTAGTATATGATCATCATTGTCCTTGGGTTGATAATTGTGTAATCAATAATACTATTATAAGATAGGATCAAACAATCATTTTTAGTTTTACATATTTGTGTGGCTCCTTTGTTTGGATGTCACTTTCACTTTAGCATTCTAGTTTTATTTTGTTATTAAATAAATTTAACATGATGAAGGCATAGAAAACGAATTTTTAATCCTTTTTATACTTTCTCTATTTTCTATCATCATTATGCTTTTGTTTCTCTTCCCTCTTTGGTTTCTATTATACATATAAACAATAAATTTATTAACAGGATAAACAACATATGAAAAGTAATATTTATTATTTATATTAAAAAGGTATTCTTAATCAATGAAGAACTCTAATACTTAGTCTACTGTATCTTGCAATAATTGTCTACAAATGTGTTGTTATAATAAAATAAACAATTAAGAAAAAAAGAAATAAAATCATTAGTCTTTGTAGTTATTTGATTCAAATTAAAAATCATGACTTTTAATTATTAATTAATTAATTTAATAATAATATATTCATTTCAATTATTTATAATCAATATTTATTTATTTAATTTATTCTTTAACAATTTCTACTAAATAATATTTGAGCAGTAACATTTATGTAAATTTTCAATGTAAATGGTTTATTAAAATTAAGAAATTGATTAAATATTACTTATTTGATATTTTCATTTTTTAGTTCGTATAAATAATTCATATTATTTAAATTTGATATCCCTAAGTTATATATAATAAAATTTATGACTTTCTCATTTTCTATTGATTATTTTTATATTTGAAATATATAAATATATAATCTATTCTATACATTAAAAAAAGTAAAATTTTAGACTGATTTGCATTATTATTAATAATAATTTGTCATTCTCATATAATTTAATTAAACAAATTCAAAATAATTGATCATTTATAACATTACTATTTTAGTTTATTAATTAAAATTTATATATAAAATGTTATTTATGATCATTTTAAATATATATTTACAATAATCTTCTAATCATAGAAGAATTGGATAATATGATTTAAGATTATTTTATAACGTTTTACACTTTTCTTAATTAATTTTATTTGAGAAATTTAAAAAGAAAAGTATCAAAATAGTGTTAAGATTTAAAGATAATATTTGCTAAATATTGATGGATATTAAAAAGTAGAAACTACATTATTAAGGGTCAAAGTTTTAGCGTCTAAAAAAACTATAATTATTAAAATAATTATGAATACATAATACTTAATTAATTGTTAAATTATGTCATAAAAACAGCTATTTTAATAACTTTAATAAAAAAACAAAATATAGAGTAATAAGGAATGAATAGAAGTTTAATAACTATTTTATGGTGAAATTTTCTTTAAGATTTGAAACTATTTATTTTATCAGACTCTCAACTTAATGATCAAAGTGATATTTTTAATAAATTTAATAAATGCAATCATTATGTTAAATGAGTCCAGAATCAAATCCTCAAAATAAATAACAATTCTAAACCTGTTTTGATCAAAATGAGTCAGCATTTTTAAGTCCTAATACATAATCTCTTTAATAACCCAAATATAAAGTTAGAACCTTAAGACCTAAATCAATTCTTGAAGGTGAATTAGCCAAATTCAGCAAATCAAGAAATTTACTCTCAATGAATAATAATGAATGTATAAAATGTAAAAACGAGAAAGGAAGTATAGCAATAAAGTTATGCCAATGCTTAGATATATATTACCATATTCTTTGTATCTTAGAATATGCTGATCTTCATCCTAAGTTAGGACTCAATTTATTTAGATGCTAATTTTGCAATGATTACTTCCCAATTTAAATAAATGAAAAGTATAATATATATAAACTATCAGACTGAGCACATAAAATTTAAGCAAGAAACAAAAGTTTATATTCTTAATGAGCTTGTCCATGTTGTTNAATGTAAATGGTTTATTAAAATTAAGAAATTGATTAAATATTACTTATTTGATATTTTCATTTTTTAGTTCGTATAAATAATTCATATTATTTAAATTTGATATCCCTAAGTTATATATAATAAAATTTATGACTTTCTCATTTTCTATTGATTATTTTTATATTTGAAATATATAAATATATAATCTATTCTATACATTAAAAAAAGTAAAATTTTAGACTGATTTGCATTATTATTAATAATAATTTGTCATTCTCATATAATTTAATTAAACAAATTCAAAATAATTGATCATTTATAACATTACTATTTTAGTTTATTAATTAAAATTTATATATAAAATGTTATTTATGATCATTTTAAATATATATTTACAATAATCTTCTAATCATAGAAGAATTGGATAATATGATTTAAGATTATTTTATAACGTTTTACACTTTTCTTAATTAATTTTATTTGAGAAATTTAAAAAGAAAAGTATCAAAATAGTGTTAAGATTTAAAGATAATATTTGCTAAATATTGATGGATATTAAAAAGTAGAAACTACATTATTAAGGGTCAAAGTTTTAGCGTCTAAAAAAACTATAATTATTAAAATAATTATGAATACATAATACTTAATTAATTGTTAAATTATGTCATAAAAACAGCTATTTTAATAACTTTAATAAAAAAACAAAATATAGAGTAATAAGGAATGAATAGAAGTTTAATAACTATTTTATGGTGAAATTTTCTTTAAGATTTGAAACTATTTATTTTATCAGACTCTCAACTTAATGATCAAAGTGATATTTTTAATAAATTTAATAAATGCAATCATTATGTTAAATGAGTCCAGAATCAAATCCTCAAAATAAATAACAATTCTAAACCTGTTTTGATCAAAATGAGTCAGCATTTTTAAGTCCTAATACATAATCTCTTTAATAACCCAAATATAAAGTTAGAACCTTAAGACCTAAATCAATTCTTGAAGGTGAATTAGCCAAATTCAGCAAATCAAGAAATTTACTCTCAATGAATAATAATGAATGTATAAAATGTAAAAACGAGAAAGGAAGTATAGCAATAAAGTTATGCCAATGCTTAGATATATATTACCATATTCTTTGTATCTTAGAATATGCTGATCTTCATCCTAAGTTAGGACTCAATTTATTTAGATGCTAATTTTGCAATGATTACTTCCCAATTTAAATAAATGAAAAGTATAATATATATAAACTATCAGACTGAGCACATAAAATTTAAGCAAGAAACAAAAGTTTATATTCTTAATGAGCTTGTCCATGTTGTTTTCTTTGGTTACATTAGAAATTGTGGCTCTTTCATTGTTAGAACTAGATCAGATATATCTAATTTTATTAATAATACTAATAATTATTGAATTATTAGTATTGTTAATAATTTTCAGTAAATTTTATCATTTATGTTACTTAATCGAATATGATATAAAAGAATATAAGTTAGGATAAGATTATAATTAATCTTAATTGGAATCCTTTACTCTTAAAGTTGTTAAATAATTATAATATAAAAGAGCCAAGAGAGTTATATTTGATTAAGTGAAATGATAACTTTAGATATTACTACTTTTAAAATTTTATAGTCTCATCAAATTTCTAAATATTCGTTTATTTATTATAATATAATTGCTAAATAAGCTTAGCTTTACAAAATGAAAACTATGAATATTGGTCCAAAAGTCTTGCTTTAATAAAATTAAGTTAGACATCTAGATGATGAAGATGATGTACCAGATGAACCATCTCCTGTTTTAATTAAATAAAAAATAATTAAAGTCATCAAATATAATCAACCAAGATTTGATGTCAAAGGTAGGCAAATATTTAAAGGCACTGGTTATGGAATTGCTTTTGACAATTTTGTCACTGTCTGTGTATTTAATCCTGATGAGGAAGTGTTATCAATTAAGGACACTATTTCTTAATGTACAAATACTCAAGAATTGGAGAAGTTTCACATCAAATCTAATAGTAATAAAAAAATAGAGGATTTCCATAAAGAAATAATCCTAAAATCAATTCTTAAATAGTCTAAACCAAATCAATGAAAAATAGTTTGAATTAAATTTCTTTATTTAATGTTTTGTTATCGAAACAATTCTTATAATTTTTATCCATATTAAATCAAAAATAATCATTTCTTTTTTTTTGTCTACTATAAGTTTAAAATTCTATGAAATAAGTAATTTTACCTCATTTTAGTAATATAAATGAGGATTCAACAAAAATAATACAATCATATCCTATGTCAATACTAAAATTAACTTGATTATTATATTTCTTACCTCTAACTTCAAAACTAAAAACTCAAAATTTAACTATTGTATTTAAATTTGATCTAGAAATTTACCATTTAAAATAATTCTAATTACATAGATAATTTAATTAAGAGATTTCAATTAAGTATATGAAATAATAAGATTCCGTAGTTAAATTGGAAATATAATATTTGATATCCATAGAAATAAAAGAAATATTTAATAATCATTTACATTTACATTCATAAAAATTTCAATATTATATGTCTAATTAACAAACTTAATCATACACTTCCTCCATCATATATACACCTATTCCATTGAAGCTATAATTTAGTGCGTCTTGTTCCAGGAAGTAAAGTACGAATTCTAACATACTTGAAGAAAGTACTGCATCTTCATTCATATATTCCAGAAGTCAAGATAATATTTTGTATTTTGTAGTGAATAAACACTTATAGATTTGCTAAATTTGAATAAGAGAACCAAGAAAGACCTGAAAATCCTATGACAAGAGATGAGAAATTTAAGGAACTTCAAAACTTATTCTTTGATTCTGAATCATATATTACAGAAGTTGAACTGTTTTATTGAATCAAACAGCCTTTTGATATGTGACTAAAGTATTCATAATAAAGTATATAAATACTCTAACATCAAATAAAATTGCACCTTTTTTTATAGACATCAATATTATAATATAAAAGATATTCTCTAACTAATAATTCTTTATCAGTTAATTGAGAATTTGATGAATATATATTTTGAAAATAATTATAATTCTAATTAATTATTTTAGTATTATTCTTCATTCATAAATTAAAATTATCACCTAATTAATTAACAAATTCTTTATATTTTAAGTAGTATTAATTAAAAAATTCTTCATGTTTTAAGTAGTATTATTATTGTATTTTGTTGATTATACTTCTATATTTTTATAAATATTTTTTATAATTTTATTTAAATTAATTTAAAAATTCTATTATCTAAATTGATAGCATTATTAAAGTAAATAATAATTTATCTTAATAAATGAAAAATAATCTGAATATTCATAAATTGAAGTCGTATAATATTTAATAATTCAATCTTGAGATTCTTCATCTAAATGTTCTTCTACAGTTTTAATGCACTTTGAGTCAAACTTATTTTGTACTTTTACTCCTGCTTATAATTTCTACCATTTCAATTTGAGTATTTATCTATTCCTTTCTACTAGTTCTTATTCATTTTTTTCGAATGTATTAGTAGTATCTTTCCAATTTTAATACTTTAATTTTAGTTCTTCAAAAAGATCAACTTGTAGGAGACCATTCTTTATTTCTTTAACTAAATTTGTAGAGTTATTTAAAATCTAATTAATAAATTAAAGATCAGCTCCTCTTAACATTTTTTATCTCAATTTCAAGAGCTCCCTAAATATAAATAATAAAATACTCTTAAAAATTATATATTTTCACTATAATACTTTCGTGTTAGGTATCTTTATATTAATATTTAATATCCTTTATTTAGAATTAATGGAATTAATAAAATCTAATAACTAAAGGAATCTTTTAATTTTTGAATAGATTCATTTTTTTGTGTTGAATTTTAAAACATCTCCATTTCTTTAATAAATTCATTCCATTTTTTTAAATTTCCTAAGCTTCTAAAAAATAGCTTTCCCATTTACTTAAACAATTTTAATATACTATTTAAGAATTTACATTTTCAGCTTTTTAATTAATTTATCTTGTAATTAACTTTTCTTCAAATTATCCTTTGATAAATAGAACATCCATTTTATTGATCAATTCTTATTATAAATTTGGCTACTTTTAGATGAGACATTAGTGTAACTTTTGATAATATTGATATGTAGAATTATTACTAAAAATTTGTAATAGTCTTTCTTTTATTACATCAGTGAGATTTTATAAATTTATTATGAAGACTATGAGAAGCAAATTACATAAATATTCATAATGCTCAGAATTACATGTTTCTATAAAATACTATAGTTATTCTATAAATTCTAAAATAATTTCAGGTCTAGTTATTTTGAAAAGAGGCTAATCAAAGTTTTATTAACAAGATATAATTTCTTAATATTTTAAAGGAATAATAATTGATTTTATTCCTGACTGAGCTAAAAGTATTTTTATACCAATTCTTATTAAATGATTGATCCATTCATCTAAATACATTTTATCTTCAAAATATTAACTATATTCTATAAAGCATTCAAATGAATCTTCAATAATATTGAAATTTTAGCATTCTAAAAATTCAAGATATTTTAAATAATATTATGATACTTCTTTATCTTTTATATTTTATAATGTAAATATTGCAAATGGCAAATTATCTTATAAGTGTAATAAGTTTAATGCTAAAATAATAAAACCATGTTTCTAAAATTGATTCTTTAAACCTTATTCTAATAAAAGTATACTTTCATTTTTTAAATAATATTTAATTTATTTATCTATTTTATTAAATCTGAAATTTGTTTATAATAACCATTTATGAACAGTTCTCATTTCATCAGACTTAGTAAAATGCAAAATTGAAGATTCATGATCATCAATTGAATTCGCAAGGTTCTTCTGTCTTATACCATAAGCTACTTTTGAAAAATAATCTATTTGCTCATTTAATGGCAAAGTTAGACGTGGTAAAATATTCTCATATTAATATTATAATCTTTAATTTAAACATTTAAATATTTGTTTCATTTCTTATTGATCTTAAATGTTTTATATAGATTAACTTAATGTAATCATTGGTTTAAAATTACAAAAGTATTATTTAATAAGTTTACCTAAGGTTTCAAAAGGTATTGCAATATATTCATATGCTATATCCATAAAGATCATTTGATCATTAACATATTTTATTAGTTTCGATGTTATGTGGATAATACAATATTATGAGTAATCAATCATAATATCTCCATTAGGAAAAGAAAATTTGAATAAGAATTAGAGTGCTTCAATAATATTAGATTTATTATGAATAAAACCTAATTGATTTATGCAATATTATTGCTTTTGAATTAAATCAATAATAGAATTATATTATTAATCTATTTCAAATTTTAAAATACCCATACTACAAAACATACATAATATTATTGATTCTATTTATTTAAGCTTCTCTTAATAAGTGAGATCTTCTTTATCTAATTTTGAGTTATTTATTAATTGAATTATATTTTCTTTAGTTAATATTCTATTGGTAGTGCTTTAAATGGTAATTTCAAATATTTAATCAATATTGATCTTAGTAGATTAATTTGTTAGGAAATATTACTCTACTTAAATGAAATAGTTATATTTAATTAATTAAAATTATTCTTCATTTGTTAGTTATTTTGTCTCTCTTTAATCTTTAACTTTTTCTATAAGTATTACCAAATCTTAATAATTATTAAATGATTGACATAATTTAAAGGCATTTTCATAGTCTAATTAATAAATTATTGTTCTCCAATATCCTAATCCTATTAATTATTTATAACATTCTATTCCAAAACTATTAAAAGAGTTGAGTTATTCTTCATATTTAAATTTTAAATAAATTGGATTAATTGATTCTAAAATATTAGTGAAAACAATTTAAGCTAGCATTGATTAATCTAATAAACGTTTTCTTTTAAGATTGTTCCCAATAATCCAATTTTCTAATTTGAAATTGTTTTTTGCAATTGGTGTATATTAGGATGCTAACGAGACTAAATATCTACCTAAATGAGATGATAATTTGAACTAATTGCAAACATATATACATAATTTATAACTTTGAAAATGTTCCAAAATATCTAAAACAAAGTATACAGCTTCTATATCAAAATTCTCTAAATCATATAAAAAATTAATCATATGATCTAATTCTTTTTCATCTTAATTTCTAAATGAAAGTAATGCACATTAACTTTTTTAATTTTCTAATAAAAGTTTAAATTCATCATAAAACTATTAAAATCTTTCAGCTAATTTCAACATAATATTATTTTTCATAAATATATTTAATCTAGATTTGAGTAAAGGTTAATTTGAAGGTTAATTCATTAATAAAACATTTGAAAATTATGATTCTATACTTGAAGATGCAATAGATTTAATTAGAGATTTATTATCTGGTTTTATCCATTCATCATCTGGATCAAAAATAGATAAATGATCAAGTGAATCTTCCTTTACAACTTAAAATGATTAAGAATCTTCAAGAACATCAATATCATTTTTTATTTATTATGTCATCTAACTTTAATTAAGAAGTGAATTTTCTACTTAAAAACTTTCAGTTTCATCATTAGGATTAATAATTTATTCATTTTATTATATTAATAATTCTTCTTTTTCAATATCTTCAGTTATTTCTTTCAAATATTTTGGAATTATAAGATTTAAGAACATTAATTTTTCCTCAGGTGTAAACTAATCTTTGTTTAATTTTAATTGATCTAATGAAATATTCCAAAGTTTTTATTTATTAAAACATTCAATAGATCTTCTGACTTCACCTAATTCTGAAAATATTTAACCTGCAATTTAATATTATCCTGCAAAATATGCTGATTCTGCCATTTCATTTTTACAACTTAATTATTCATATAATTAAAAGGCTTTCTAATATTTTTATCCAGAAAAATAACAAGATGCTGCTCTTTTTAATAGGTTTATATTTTCAAAGATCTCTGCTGCTTAAATAAATAATCCAAAATTATTTGAACTAAGAGTAGCTTAAGTAGCTAAATTATAAGCCAAAGACTTATTTGCTAATTCAATTTCATTTGCAAGCATAAAACATTTTTAAGCTTATTCGTAATTATTCTATCTTAACATTCTATATCCTTACTTTTTCCAATTAGCCTTATTATCAATTGAAAAGGATAATACAAATTTAAAATCTTAGATTTACTATTCATGAATTACTTCCACAAGATCTAACTCTTCCCAAATCTTTTATATATAAAATCTATTTTATAAAGATTAATCAAAGATTATTAATCTTTTTTTAGGACGTGTTATAGCTACATATAACTATTTTAATTCATGTTATAGTGTTAGATTAATTTTGTTTGGATTTAATGTTTGTGCATTCTACTTTTTATTTGGATTAGGTTTTCTTAATTCTAAGATTGTCAATTCTACTTCATGTTTACTGATATTTTTGTGCATTAAATAAGATTTTTAATTACCTAAATATTATATATACATTAATACATTTAGAATTCCATTCATTTTTATCCTTTTTGATTTTAACAATTTGTAATTATTAAAATAAATTCCATGCATTTTATTCTTCATTGGAATCAGCAAAAAAATTAAATAATATAACATCATCAAATTCTAATCCTTTAGCTTCATAAATAGTTAAAATTATTGCATTCTATAATTCTATTGGAATTTTTAATTTAGATTCTTAATCTTTTACAATAATTACAGAATTATAACCAAATTCCACATTACTTTATTTATTTTAATATTTTTTAAATAAATAATTTAACAAGTCTTGATTATAAATACTTTAAATTATAGTAGGTTTTGGTCCTTATTAATTTGATTTTTCTTTTTGTAAAAAATCAAGATAATTTGGGAAAAATATTTCAAGAGCATTAACTAAAGTATTACCCAATTATAATATTTAATTAGTTGATCTAAAGTTATATGATAATTAGATTAGTGTAGTTTTAGTTAATTTAATAGATTATTTTTATTATTTTTCTTTTTCAAGACAACTTACAATATCTTTAAATTTCATTCCAATTCCTTTAACTATATTTTAAGCATTATCTCCAGCTAAAAATAATTAAACTTGTGTCATTCTATTAAGTAGAATCAATAAAGCTTTAGGTACATCTTAAAGTTCATCAAGTATGATATAATGCATATATTCAATATTATCAAAACAATAGACTTATTAATAATTAATATGATTAATCAGATCAAGTATATCATAATAACCATATTTTGATTTTAATTTTTCATAAATTAAAAATATATTAAATACCTTATCACAATTTAAATTGCAACCATATTTAAAATTTGAATTATAATCCTATAATTTAAGATGATAATTTGGATAATGAAATGATTTTTCGCTACCTTTGATAATTGTAATTATATCTGACCAAACTATCATAGGATCTAATGAATTTAAGCTTTATTTTTCATTCCATCCAAATTGCCTCATGATTTTAGGCCAAAAAAAATCTTTAAAGCATTCTAATGTAACTTCTTTTAAATTATTATTAAGAAATATGATTTCTTTCTAGTCTAGTTCATTAATTTCAGTATCTAATTGATCTGAAAAATTATTATTAGAAATATTTTAATTCAAAGAAAGTACTCCAAAATATTCATTATGCCATTAGGCTGATCTATGAATCTGTTCTTTATTTTTAAAGAAAGGGTTATTTAATTAAGAATCAATTAGAAATAATAATTTTCTGATTGTGAGAAATGCAGGAAAAGATTTAATATCAGAAATAGTTTAAAACTAACCCATCTCTTTTTCATATTAATCAATATCTTCTTCATTTTCATCTTCATCTTCTATTTCAAATTAACTTTCATTTTCATTTTCATCTTCTTTATCTAATACATCCAAAATTTGAACTGTACTTTCATCTAAGTTTTCTTTGAACTAATCTGAAAACTTTTATACTCTATTCTTTTGTTTTAAGGTCTCTTCAACATTTTTAACTAGATTTTCATATTTCTATTTAATTTATTAAGCTAACAAAGGACTGGATGTTAAAAATAAAGTTTTCAATTATATTCCAGTTGATAATTAATTATTATATTATAAATTAATTTTAGAATTAGATTCCTTAACAAGATCTAGATTCTATCTCAACATAAATATTGCATCAGTGATAAATAATTTCAATAATGAGATTGTAGTTTTACCAGTTCCACTTCTACCAATTAATATTGTATCACCTTCTTTTGAAATAGCTTCAAATTATTCCATATTTATTGTGAATCTTTCACTCTTAATATTTTTTAATAAATTCCTATATTATTAAAAATTAGGAGTAAATAAGTATCTTTTCAATAAAAAGTAAGACCCTTTTAATTCATTCTATACTTATACTCTTTTTGCATAATTTATTGAAGTTTATTGTTTAATCCATTTTTAATAGTTTAAATTAAATACAAATTAATCTTTCTAAAAATTTATAATTTTGTATATCCTTGGAATAACATAATTTTAGTTGATCATCATCTTATCACCTACTTTTACTTGATTATATTTTGATTAATTTTTGATTTCTTATATTAAAGCAAGTTCATCCTATAAAAAAGGATCTTATTCTTATTGATCTATATATTCCTTAAGGTTTTCAATATATTAATAATTTCCCAAAGAAATGAATACCATAGTATCAACATACTTCAAAGTTTGAAGTTAATTTAATGAGTTTAAAGTAAATTATTATTTTGGAACTATTTGCACAATAAGTGACTCAGCTTGTTTATATTAATTATATATTTGATAAATTTCTGTATAGGGTATATTATTCCTCTATTATTGTGTCTTTCTACTTTTATATAGATGTTATAAAGAATAACTTGAAGTTTCCTAAGGTTATTTTTCAAAATCACCTTATAATACCGATTTAATTTGAAAAAGAATTTAAGATAAAGATTTGGAATCCTAATAACATTTTGTGAGTTGTTCTAAGAAGTTTGCTTAGAGATAATTATTGATATATACCTGTCATTTAAAATTCCCATATTCTATCTGGAAATAATAGATTCATATCGAACTTAGTTAATATATTTCTAAATGGGCTTTTGCTTATGGATATTAATGGTAATGGGTTGACATATTTATCTCTTCTTTAAGATTTAACATAATATTCTAAAAATTATGGTATGAACTAAGTTATAAAGTTTATTGATTTTAAATCATATTCAGAGCAAAACTTTTCACCTAAAGTGATAAGTCTTTATTCTTCTTATTCTAAATTTTCTTTTTTTTCTCTAGCATTCTCAATTTTTGTTTTCATTTTATCCTAATAAAATAATTCTTTAATATAAACTTGAAAATCATTATTATAAATTATACAGAAATATAATTCTGATAAAATTTATTAAATATCCTAGTTTATCAAATTTAGATTTATAAAATAGTTACTTTATTTAAATTATTTTCATACTAGGTTTAAATGCATAACTTATTTTGGAAAAATATGATAAATTTTAATATTAATAATAAATATGCTAAAAAATGAATATTAATTTAAAAATATTACGAACATAAAGTAATATAAGCTAGATAAGAAATAATGATTAAACAAATGAAATATTTTTTATTCAAATATTCAAATTTAGAAAATACCTAGAATATCATTCATTTTTAAGTAGTCACATATTTAAAATAGATATTATTAAATATTAAATTAAGATATTTAATTGAAAAGGTATTATCTCATAGTTTAGGTATAAGTAATATTAAGAAACTTAAGAATTTTGTAATGGCTAAAAAAAATATTGGATAAATAAAATTTCAAATACATAAATTTATAAATATATATTAATAATAAATTTCTTTTATAATGGGACTTTTGAAAATAATCAAAAAAACTAAAGAGAGAGAAAAAGAGATGAGACTATTAATTTTGGGGTTAGATAATGCAGGAAAGACTACAATTCTAAAAAAATTTAATGGGGAAGATATTTCTTAAATTTCTCCTACTTTGGGTTTCAATATCAAAACTCTTAGTTATAATGGATATAAACTCAATTGTTGGGGTATTATGTTTAATTAAAAATAATAATAGATGTTGGTGGTTAATAGACAATAAGATCATATTGGAAGAATTATTTTGAACAGACAGATGGATTAATATGGGTTGTAGATTCTACTGATAAAGCTCGTTTAGATGATTGCAAAAAGGAATTATAAAATTTATTGAAGTAAGAGAAATTAATAGGAGCTACATTATTGATATTTTGTAATAAATAAGATGTTCCAAAATCATTGAGTTTGCAATAAATAAGAGAATATTTAGAATTAGATCTAATTCAAACTAGACATTGGGGTATTATTGCATGTTCTGCAGTAACTGGAGATGGATTATTAGAAGGCATTGATTGGATAGTTACAGACATTTCAAGCAGAATTTTTATGATGAGTTGATAAAATAATAATTATGATTATTGTATTGCTATTATTACTATTTGATGTTAATGCAGATTGGTACCATAGTACATTGGCATTTACATTGGCTGCAAACAATTACCAATAGCATTTAGGACAAGACAAGCATGTAAGTATTAAACGAAACAGGTTGTTTTAGATTTCTTTACTCCTTGGTGTATATATTGTCAACATATGGCAGGAGAATTTAATCAAGTGTTTGAACACTATTAAGCAACTAGACCAGATATATTGATAGCTAAAATGAATTGTGATGAATAACAAAACCAACATATTTGTCATCATTTTGGAGTTCATTCATTTCCTACTATCTTATATTTCCCTCCTGGATAAGATAGACCAACTTCTTAATTTCAAAATCATAGAAGATATGATTTCTTTGTTTAATGGATAGATTCTTTGGCATAAATGTCTGAATAAACTAAATAGGAAATACAATAATAATAATTAGAGAAGATGTAGAAAGATTAAGAAGAATAAGAATAAAGATTAAGAGAGATGTTAGAATTAGAGAGATAGAAATAGATTGAATTGGAAGAGTAGGAAAAATAAAGGGAAGAAGAGATAAAGATTTCATAATCAATTTAATAATAGATTACAGAAGCCAATACATTTATTGAAACAATTAAAGGAATGGAAAAAGAGATCTATACTTTACAATAATAAACAGCAGAAATTAATAGTAAAATGAGTCAAATTAAGAAGCTACCTAAAGTTAATGTAAATCATGCTTTGGTGTTTGCAATAATAGGATTCTTTATTGGTGTTGCTATGACTTCTTTTGTTTGTCTATTTCAAAAAACAAATAATGCAAATGCAGAAAAAGGGATGTGATATTATTTCATCATTTATAAAAATAAATATATTCTCCAATTTAAAAATTAAATCAATTTTTACTATTTTCTCATTAAATTAAAAGGGTTATAAGAATAGCCATAGCAATTATTTATGCAAATGATCCTTAAACATCTGGTATTTCAGTTACACCTGAAGTAATTGCAGTCTATATATAATTATTAATATATATTACTCCTTTCAATATCTTTCTACCATTTAAATTTTAAATGGGTCTATTATTATGTTTAATTGGGAATAGAGTAGAATCACTTAAGAAATCCTAGAATTATTTTAATTAGGTTGATGAAATTGGTAAAGGCTATTAGAATACTACCCAATTGACAGTTTATGAACATGGAAGTGTGGTTAAACTTCCATTATAATGATAATATGTTGCATCAGACATTTTGGAAAAGAAATCACTAATTTAATTTGAAAAATAAGAGTACTTCAAATCAAAAGAATCAATTTCTCCAGTAACATTAGAATCAAACCATGGTTTAAAGGCTTCATAATCCGTAGCACTTGAAGATTCTTAAAACATTATTCCGAAAACAGTAAGTTTATTTTTCACTTTATTACAATCTTATTCATCATCTTGGATAGCCTAGAATGATTATAATATTACTTGATGAACAAAATGGATTTCTAAATCATAATATTTTCCATCTATTGTATGTTCTGATGGGGTATGAATGTGGAATTATTTTGCATAATAACGGATAACTGAACCTGAGGCATCAGTTACTTCTATTTCTGAATACTCTCCTTCATATTCTTTGGTATATGGTTCTATAAAAAATTCTCATCAAAATATTACTGTTTGCTTCTTCATATCCCGTACTAGCATCTTTGCTTTTATAATTGATTTGTGGTTGTATAGCTTCTTATGCACTACTAGTTGTTATAATATCTATAGGTGATTAGAAACTACCCCCACATGTTACTACAAAATCTTATACTAATAATAATTATAATACCTGCCCAGTTAGCAGCGTTAGTATAACTCCATCCAGTAGCACCAAAATCAGCTGCTGATACACCATCTGCATAGATTGCATCAGGAAGTGAACAATAATCTCTAGTTACTTCATTTGTAGTTGATTCTGCTGAAATCAATGTAGATAACAAAGCAAATAATCCAAAAATCATTATTTAAAATTAAATTTACTATCAATTAAATGATCAATTTTTTACATATTAATACAAAATTATGTAAGAACTCGATGTATTAAAATTAATAATATTTTCATTATATTATAATCACCTTATGCTAATCTTCTCTACAACATCTTCAAATTTGTTTAGACTTCTTAAGAAACTTTATTTTTTATTAAAGCTATTACTAATGACTTAAGCTTTTACAAATTAACTTCTTCTGTCTAAATAACAAGATAAATAATTTTATGATATTAAATCGAAATACTTTTATATAAGAATTGTTTATTTTAAATCAGACAAGTCTGTAATTTATTTGCTATCATTTTTAAATCACAAAAAACATAAACAGAAATTCAAAAAATTAAGTTTCAAATTTTATTTAATTCATTTGTTTAAGTTTGAAATGATTCAATAAAATTTATTAAGATTATTTATAATAAATTTTCTATGTTTGTTTAAGTGCCTTCAAATATTATTGTGCAAGTCTTTCTAATTTCTATAGTTAAATTTAATCTAACTCTTTTAAAAGCCTTCATAACATATTTAATTATAAATAACTAAATGAAAATAAACTAATATTTTTAAATATAATACAAAATCTAGACTATATTTTTCTTAAATTAAAAAATCTTAATTATTAATTTTTATATATTATAAAATATTTTTCGTCATTTTATTGATGTATTAATTTTTTGATATGATATATTTTTTAATTCAAATACTTGACATAAACTGTAGATGATTTTGTTAAATATAAATGAAGATTTTGTTGATCACATTAAGTCTTTTGGCTTTAGTCACTTCTACTACAACAGTACCCGTGTCATCAGTATATCAATGCTCATGCACAAATGCTATGACTTAGACAGATTGTCTAACAGATTATTGTAATTGGGATTCTACCTCAGGAACTTGTTCAAACAAAGCATGCACAGTATTTAGCAAGGAAGATTGTGAAGGTGTTCCAGATACATTTGGTTGTATTTGGAATTACACTTCAAATAAATGTGAAGGTTTCACCAAATGTTCTGATTATACTTTCACAATTGGAAATGCAGGGGATTGCAATGATAAACTGATTAAATGTTAAGCTGATCTTAATACTATTGACAGTACAGCAGGAACCATTAAATGTAAAGATAGAACTCAAGATGCAATTTTAAGTATTGATGATTGTAACTTATTACCATATGCTAATTGCTTTTGGTATTTAACACCTGATGGTAAATAATGTTTATAGAATACTACAACAAATAAATGTGAAGCCAAATCTATTACTAAATGTTCTGATTATACAAAAGATAACTGCAATATTTTAGCTTGCTATCTGAATGGAGATGTGTGTACTGAATTGACATGTGCAATCATACCAGAAGATTAATGTTTTGTATATTTTTCTTATGACTCTAAATCAATGATATTCTGCTCTTGGAATGGAAGTGCTTGTGTTGATTTAAATGTGTCAACTTTGACTTAAGAAAAATGTTTAGACTCCACATATTTTACATATGGATGGAATCCAGATTCAAAACAATGCGAGATATGTGTAACAGACCCAGATTAAGATTCTAGTACAAATATCATTCTATATGGATCTATTCTTATGGCAATAGTATTTTTATCATGAATTTGAAATTAAAAAATGAGAATTAACATATATTCAATATTCTTGGAAGTTCTAATATGGAAAAATGTGTTTCTATATTTATCCCTTTTTATGTCGTTTATATAAATGAAGACTAGTAGATATCTCTTCCTTTAATCTCTTTGTCCTTAAATAATTCTATCCCATATTATGATTGACATTGTTAAGATTTTTAAAGATATTCATACTATTTTTTAAAACTG